AAAATAGGACACATTGCAAATCCATCACCAACAAGCAACAGCAGAAATCTCAACATAAACAGTTGGAGCTACCTACAAAGATGGTGCTAGCAAGAAACAAGATAAGAGTGACTATCACCATGGAAGCTGCTGCCAGACGAAACAGAATAGAAACAACCAATCAAATTCACCATAAGAAAGAAGTACTGTTTTCATATTTAATTAGTGCATGACTGATGGTCAGCTCAAGTTAGCAAATTAGTCAACAGTGCTAGTGGTGATTGAAGTATGTGACAAACATCAAGAGGTGCCAACAAATCACAACATGCCAGAAGGTGAAAGCTATGTCAAGGACAAAAAAGTGAACGTCCTACGAGACACTAGGTGCTTTAGCACAGCATTGAGAACCACTCCTGTATCTGATGACCATATGACCAAGGTACATTTTTGTGTGCTTATTGATGGAACATTGAGAAAGTTTCCCATAGCAAAAATAAAGGTGGACACGCCATACTATGTGAGAGACCTTAAGGCCATGTGTATGAAGGCACCATCTATGACTTCGTGATTGGAAATATACCAGGCAGTAGAAGTTTGAACAAACTACATAGAAAGAAGATGGATGAAGCATCAAGAAAACGAGAACAAGCAAGACATTAAGTCCCTGCAAGTATGAAGAGGCGACATCCTGAATAAAGGTTTGCAGAAACTAAAGGAAGCACAGAAAAAAGACCCTTCATTGTAGAAACTTTGGGACAGTGCCTGATAGAAAGTCGAACACGGGACAAAGTGACTTACATAATAGAGAACTGGAAGGGAGTGCTGTACTGGAGAAGGTAAACAGATCATAGTACCAACAGAATACTGGACTCAAGTAATGAAGTTACCTCACGAGTCGATTTTAGGAGGAAATAATAGGGCAGACAGAATCATCAGCAACTTCCATAAGTAATTGAAGATGAGACCATGTTCTTCAAGTCATGTAACATCTGTCAAAGAACAGTACCTAGAGGGAAGGTAACCAAGGTGTCACTGGATGAGATACCTCTCATAGACGAACCATTCAGCAGAGTAGCTGTGGACTTGATCAGACCACCAACAGTTGTATCTGACAAGAACCAGTATGTGCTGACAGTAGTGGACTATGCAAGACGTTACCCAAAGCTATAGCATTGCTACAAATAGAAATGGAGAGACTAGAAGAAACCTCCTTGGAAGTGTTCTGCAGAGTTGGCTTTGCAAAAGAAGTCTTGCGTGATAGAGGGACCCAGTTTACCTCAAAACTGTCACAAGAGGTGTGCAGACACACAAGAACTAGGCAGCTCTTTACAACCCCAAATGTAATGGACTTTGTGAGAGAGTCAATGGAGTCCTAAGTAGCATGGTGAGAAGATGTGCCAAGAGAGAACACGTGACTGGGACAGGTAACCGCAGGCAATATTATCTGCTTATCAAGAAGTCCCACAAGCAAGTACAGGATTTTCACCTTTCAAGTTACTGTACAGAAGAATAGTACGAGGTCTTATGCAGATCATGAAAGAGCTATGGACAGGAGAAGAAGAGTCAAAAGTCAGGAACACATACCAGTACATGTTAGACCTCAAATACCGACTGGAGGAGACATGTCAACTCGCTAGAGAGAGCTTGTATACAGCTCAAGGCAGTCAGAAGCACATCTATGACAAGAAGGCCAAGGATCGACGTTTTAAGGTCCGACAGAAGGTCTTAATTCTGCTACCAACAGACAACAACAAACTCACCCTGCAGTGGAAAGGACCTTTTGAAGTAAAGGTAGTGGTCAACAGAATGGACTATAAGGTGAATGTGGATGGGAAGACCAATATCTACCATGCCAATCTGTACTTTGAGAGGGAGAAAGATATAATGGGCACAGCTATTGAGGCACAGATGGATGTTGCAGGTGTAGCTTCATAGACACAGAACCTGAAGATGGTGACTTTGTCATAGAAGATGAAGACTTACTAAATTTAAGATCACTGGGTGGAGATGAGACAAAGACATCAACATTAGTGAAGAACTGAGTGGCAAGCAGCAGAAAGAGCCACGAGATCTACTGTGCTAGTATGCAGATGTCTGCACAGATAAACCAGGTAAGACAGAACCTATGCAACACAAGATCGAGACTACGACCAGGGATCCAGTCAAGGTGAAGCCCTATGCAACGATACAGCTGATAAAGCAGGAAGTTGAGGTAATGTTAGAAGCTGGAATCATCTAGCTTTCGAATTCAGCTTACTGTTCACCAGTAGTAACTGGGAAGAAGAGGGATGGATCAAACCACTTCTGCATAGATTTCCAAAAACTGAACCTCGTGATGAAGTTCAACTTCAAACCTATGAGCAACCCAGATGCTATCATGGCAAAATTAGACAGAGCCAAGTTCTTTTCAAAGATCGACCTTAGTAAAGGTTATTTGCAGATTCCAATGGAAATGGGATCTAAAGAGAAGACAGTCTTTGTGATACCAGGCAGATGTTTCCATTTTAATAGGATGCTGTTTGGATTAGTCAACTCAGCAGCAACATTCAACCACAATGAAGATGTTGCACAACACCACAAACATTGAGCATTATGTGGACGACATTCTGACACACACACAGCCAGATGGGGAGACCACTTGGAGAAACTTAAAGAGCTGTTCAGATGAGTGAGGGCAGCAGATCTGACCATTTAAGTGCTACATCGGCTATCCCGAGCTTGAGTTTATTGGACTGGGCAACTGACAGATAGCCATGGAAGAGATGAAGCTAACTCGCATACAAGATGCACTAGCTCTGATGATAAAGCAGCAAGTCAGATCCTTCCAGGGGTTAGCAGGATACTACAGAAATTCATCCCAAATTATGCTGAAGTTGCTGCACCATTGATGGACCTGACCAAGAAAGGCCTACCCAACAAATGAAGTGGGAACAACCACAGCAGATGGCATTCCAGAAGTTAAATAACATGTTGGGAAGTTTGCCAATTCTTAGAATGCCAGACTTCAACAAACCATTCACCATTCAGGCCAATGTTTCAGACATTGGAATTGGAGCAGTACTTCTACAAGAACATAAAGAATGGCCGTTTCTGATAATGTATGTAAGTAAAAAGCTTTTGAGTGGTAAGAAGAACTACTCTGTGATCGAACGAGAGTGTCTGGCCATCACATTTGCCATCCTGAATTTCCAGAACTGCCTACATGGTAAGGAGTTCATCATCCAGACGGACCATCGACCACTTGAATACATCGAGAGGTGTAAAATCGACAGTAGTGCAAGGACCATGAAGTGGGTGTTGTACCTCCAGAAATACAGGTCCCACACTGAAGCTATCAAGGGGACTGCATATGTTGGTGCATGCTGTACGAGTTGACTTTGTGTATGAACTGAAAATAGTCTTTATATATAGTGTAAACAAATATTGTAAATATTCTTCTTGAAGAGGGGCTTATTTTCTGGATATACAAAACTGTTTAGTTTAAGTTATTATTTAGTGATTTAATACCTAATGATTATTTAGTTTTTCATAACAAGTGTTAAAAGTTAATTATTTTAAAAGCAATATTTATGACAAGTTTTTCTTACGTGATTCTGTGTATGAAGTTTAATTGTTATATTAGGCTTTTGCAAGGCTGTTGACGTCATCTTACTCGAAGCTTCTAGGTTTTTCTTATGTGAAAATTGGTTATTAGAGGGCTAGATATTTCTAGATTTGTCTGTTGCATGTTATAAATATGTGCAGATACAGAGTGCAAGTAAGAAGTGAGAGACTGTGTTTGTAAATTTAGCCATAAAGAGTGTACAGTGGCAACTTTTAAAGCATTATAATCACAGATTGTAAGAAATAGAGTAAATAATTAGTCGTCTTGTCAAGTGGGTTCTAAAGTAACTGAATCAGCTTGTGTGGACTTTTGACGTAAAAGAGAATTATTTAAAGCTCTGTATACAACTGTGGTAACTCACAAGGTAAAGTAAGTGAACTTACTGTTAATTATATTGTAATAACATAATAGAGGAGAATAATGTCTTGTCAAAGGGTGTTCTATATCAATTGAATTCACCTTTGTGAACTTTGACAAAGAAGAGATATTCAAGGAAGCGTGGAGAGTAACCTCAATGGGTATATCCCCAATGACCTTTGAATTCAAGAAGAGTTCACTGTGCTTAGCTGTGGATGTTTCAACCAAGAAGTGTCCAAAACGGAGCTTCTTAACTGACTTTGGAGAGCCAGCAAGCCCCTCTAAGCCCTTCTGAATAAAAAAAGGGAGACATTTGCCCTAAAGATTTATCAGAAAGTGAATGCAGGATCAGGAAGTGAGGTACAGGTGTACTTTGTGATGGAGACTGCTAGTCAGAGTCTTTTAAGAGTGGTCGTTTACCGATTAGCAGAGTTTTAGTATTTTTTTTTTTTATTGGATTGAGGGGATCCATAATTAAGGAGAAAGATTTAGTGTCCACTGACCCCACCCGCCATGGAGTCCTAGGAGAGGACGCACTATAATGTCAAACAAGAACACTGCAGCAACGCCAGGGTTCGTGAGCACTATACCCAAACACCAGCATCAGACAAGATGTCCACAACACCCATTGAGAATGCTCACAGTGGTACTCAGTTGACCCTAGCCCGAGTGGACCAGCTAAATGACCCTGGGGGGCCACCCCAAGGCTACCCGTCTACAGGAATTCAAGGCCAAAGTGGTGTGTTGCAGAGCTCCAGACACCACTCAACCACCAGGATCCTCTCCTCCCCTTCACAGGTCGCCACGCACGGCAAACACTTGGATGTTTAGATCCCAGAGGAAGTAACTGAAAATACAGAACCTTCCCTGGGAGGTCCCCTCACCACGTACAGGAATCCACGTCGAGGGGAGGCAGCACTGAACTTCAAATTAGCCATAAAGCTCAGAAAATTCAGAAAAATATGGTATACTGTACCAACCAATGATAAAGAATTTTATGTCACCACTTGATCACCAAAAGAGTTGTACTAAGAACAGTGTAATTATAAATAAACAATACTTTAAGTGTGATAATCGTTTTATTTCATTTTCACAGATCAATCTGTTAAAACAGTTGTTTGTACTCCATATTTCAAGTATTTTGAAAAAAAATAATTTTACATGGAAATGCCGAAGCATGATCACATTAAACTTAGTTTCAGTAACATCTGATAAAGTACTAATTTAGATCAAAAGATTTAAAGCATACTTCCAAAAAGAAAATACCTCAACTATTACAGATGATCAGATGGTTGGTTTAATATAAAATTTAGGTAAAAATATATTTTCTCTTAATCCACAAAGATAGTAAAAATCCCATAATGAAAACATTTTCTAATTAAAAGTTTGTTTAGTTTTGACTTCAAGCTAATGATTTCAGACACCCTTTTATTTTCACCTCATTGTTAAATATGAACTTTTTATTGTCTCTTTATTTAAGATAGAATATCTAGTCAGAAAAAGATAAAGTTTTCAATAAATGCTGACAAGAAAATACCAATTATATGAAATTTGACTTTTTTTTTCTTATCTTGTTTATAGCTTTAGTAATGAATGTGGTAAAGTGAATAAAAAATAGTAATGACTAACATGTGCAAGATGTATCTGAGGGACAAATGTATAAAATTTGCTGTGATGAACAATATCTTCACATCCTTGCAATTAAAGAGCACTGGTATTCATATGTTTGGTTTGCAGAATTTTAAATATTCTGATAAAACCTACAGAAAACTGAAATATGGCAACCCATCCAAGATCTTTTTTTTTAGATATTATGGGGTAGAAATAAATGGGAGTGATTTTACTAAGTACTTTTAACGGAGAATTGTCTTGTGCATATTTCTCCACATTTTTAAATGCGTCTTAATATGGATTTAAACCACATGACAATGTAGCCTAAAAAATATATCTAGCACATAACTGAAACTCCAAGTTTCATGACTAACTTGTCCCTAAGTTAACACAGAAGCAGACTTTAATTTTCCTAAAATCAATAAAGGCTAAAACTTTTACATTTGGGGAACTTTCCACAAATTCAAAAAATAAAGACTGAACAAAATGAAAATACAAAACAAAAGCAAACAAACAAAATAACAAAGTATTTCTTAGTAATGGTATACAGGATACAGAAAACTACAAATACATGTGAAACATACTCAGGAACAGTTTTGACAGATATAAGAGTTTAAAAAGGTTTTGAACCAGAATAAAGACAGTGGGAGGAATATATCACAAACATATGGCTTTAATGAACACTTGATAATAAGGAAAATACTTTAGTAAACATTTAATATATTAAAGCCCTGGCAATAACTAATACACACTAGTATTTTTCTTTTTCAGTCAGATGAATGTAAAACTAAACTAAACTGATGAAACTATGCCAAATGTGTAATTATAAATGTTTATGTAAAAAGAGGTTTCAAGACTGGTTCTTTGAAGCCTGTCTCCGCAAAAGAATATATATCTTTTCCTTGATCCAATCTTTGTTGTAAGGAGCATACGTATTAGTAGACTTCTGGTACCTAACAACAAGATCAAACCACACATGAAACATGATAAAATTTTCTAAAAAGTAATTTAGGAAGGAAATAGTATTAACAGACAAAAAGGTACATGGTGCATTCACAAATCTTAGGCTAAACCAATGATATATAAAACACCAATGCAATAAAGATAACATTCCAAGGGTATGACCTTTACCATAAATTAATTCTTACAGTCTTTTAAGGATAAGATTTTAGAATGATGTTTTTTGTCTAAAAAAAACAGCAAGCTTTGTGAGGGGGGGGGGGTCTTACCCTTCAAATATAGCCTTTTTTTTAATAAAAATTAGTGTCAGAAACACACATTGTTTTCTGTTTTTAAGAAGAACTACATTTTTAAACCAGTATTTCCTATATTTGAAACAGGTTGAACTTACACTAAGCAACTGAGATCCTGTAACTGATCAACAAAATCAAACAACTGGCTTATGTCATATGTGATGGATGGAGTATTTGGGTTCTGACGTTTCAGATGTTCTTCATATATGTGACAGACACCTGCAAATGTATAGCATCTAAGAATCATGCTTTACAAGAGTAACCGAATATCTATATACATATAAAAAACAAATGAACACTTTTTCTCAATTTCTGATCCGAGGTCATTGATGTTACAAATATTATTATTAAAAACAAGAAACTATTGACAATGCTACACTGCTATTAACATTCAAATAAGTATTTTACAGAAGGCAAAAATACTAAGCATTCAATCTTTTAAAAAAATAAACAAAAGTCAATCAACACACACATTTTCAACAAATCAAATCTCATGAAAAACTGCAACTAACAGCTTATCAGAACAAGCCTGTATCTTGACTCCAAAATATTTATCGAGTCCTTGATGTAGTAATTTCTTATAGTACAAATTAAGTAACTAAGGAATTTGATCATATATCCTTGGCAAAGCAGTTCAACTAAAAAATAAAATAAAATCAGGTAAATTAAGCCATTACCTAAAAAACATGTTTTGAATCATTTCTACAGTTCACTTGATTTCATGCTTTGATAACAATTTAATGATAAGCCTATTCATGGTTAAGCTACATATACTAACTGGTAGTGCATTGCTTTTTCCCAATTTAATGCATTTGTTTTAGATTTTCTCCGAGAAGACTGGCAAAAATTTGTTTAAATCTAGTAAATTTTTAATATCCCATACTTAAGTTTGTTTGGCCAAATTTAACAGCCCCAAAGTAAAACATGTTACTCAATGTTAAAAGAGCTGAACTGTGTCACTTTGAGCTTATTATTATTATTATTGAATACTTTAATTTATTTCCCAAATAATGTTTTGTTTTTAGTCACACACAAAATGATCATATAATTCATTTCACAGAGTAAAAATGGTTTCATTTCTTGCTCATGTGTTGTTTCAAACACTCAGTTACTTACTTCCCATTTAAAGTATTTTATGCATCTTAGTAATTTATTAATAAAAATCAAATCATACATCAGTATATAGCTTCTTTACAGTACACATCTTTCAGTTCATGACTTGTTACCAGTGTACATTTGTATATATGATACAAAATCAAAAACAAACAAAAAACTGTGAATGATGGAATGTGCTAACCTTCCATGCACTCATTAACAGATTCGTAATCAGAATATGTTCGGGTTTCTGGTTTGCCTGGCTGAACCAACAAGATGGTATGTGACTGAAAAGAAAAATACAAATAAAGTTAAAACTTGGAGCACTGTTTGTTTTCCTACAACAACTTTAACGAAAAAGAATTCAGAATTAAAACATTTTTAAGACAGATACTTCAAAAGAACATTTATTTTGTTTCTAAAAAAAAACATACTAGGTTGTGAACTTCTGAATGTGAAAGAGATTTACAAACAGTCATTCATAGCAGTGTTTTCAACCATCAGACCCCAGCTCAAAACTAAGTTCTGCTAATTTTCACATCAAGCCACAAGAAACTTGCAAAATAGCATCATAAATACATATAGGACCATGTAAGCTATTTCAATATAATAAACAAATGAAATATAATTAAAAATTATATATATATATGTAAAGTAATATAATAATAAGTGAAAGATATAATTACATCTACTGGTAAAAGTGGTAATAATTCTTTCTCCCTGGAATACATAAATTTTATTTTGACATTATTGTAAATACCATGTTTTCCCTATTAAGTACAATGTATGCTCTTCACCCTTTTTCTTTTTGTTGTTTCTGTAGGGTTTTTGATGCAAGCCTTGCTGGATCTCTATCTAAAATGGGTTAGGAACCATTGCTTTATAGGATAGCACTGAACTTAAAAACATCATAAACAGTGCCCACCTTGTCTAAAGTTTGGCAGTAAACTAATGAGTCTCACCAAACTAAGTACAAATGGATGTAAGCTACATAGTAAGAACATCAACATTAAGGTAACAGAAAGCCAGTTGGTCTGAAGAGGTTGCAGACTCCACATCATCAGGCAAACCATTCTATGTTTATCTGCAACAGAGAAATAATTTACTAATGACTAAGTCTAGATGTAGCCTTACATTTTATACTCTTCATACTGAAGCAGATCATTCACAGAAAGTGTAACCAAATCCCTAGTAATCTGAAACACCTGAATAATGTCACGTAGGTCTTTTATGCTACAGAGAAAATTTTCAACCATTTTCACTTTCCAGTGTTCTCTTCAGAGCTTAATTTTATTCAAACAGTTCCTTCCTTAACACTTTCTTTAGAAAAACACAAATTATCACATGGCAATCATTCAATTACATGTATAATATATTGAGTGTCATCAAGAGTTGAGAAATTTCTGAAAACAAGTTATTTATTTTTAAGTTTTAACATAAAAAAACCTTGTCACAGCAAAGATCTTTATTCTCAAGAAGTTTCCCAAAATATTCCAACAGTTTTTTTTCAGCAGGAATAGAATTTAAGAAAAACAACTTCTCCACCTTTAAGGAAATTAGTCAACTTGGGAATATTCTCCCTCTACATTTGAAACAATTTGGGCATGTTCATATCCTCCATAATGAGATCCCCTTTAAATAATCTTAAAATACTAGTATTATCTTTAGCTTTTTTCTTGCAGTTCATTTTAGCATAATAATTCTTTAAGTTAAATTTGAGCCAAAAATAATTTCATAATCCACCGTAGCCTTAATGATAGCTTCCTTGAAGTTTCCGTTTGTTCCTATAAGCCTCAGTATCCTCCAATTTACAAATGGATTTAGTGTTCCTACAACTAGATGCTTTTCCTGTAACAGAATTAAATTTCCCTTTTCATCCATTCAGCAAAATGTTTTTAGTTGTATTGCAAATCCATTGGAATAAATGCATACTCTTTTTGGCTAGTCTAATGAAACTAAGGAAAAAAAACATCCAAATTCCATAAGTTTTCCATTTTGTCAATCACACAATCACAGAAGCTACCTACTGTTTCATGGGATAGTTATATTATTGCTTTTGATGGACTGCTTAATGACTGGCATACAGAATGGAGATACTTATAAATTCTTGTGATCCAACTTTCTGATTGGTCAGCTACAGAGAGTGAATTGTGACTACAGTTTATGGCATCTGCAGATAGATTCATTTCTGACTTGAAAGGTTCAAGACATGCTAGCGATATTTTGTTGGTGTTTCACTGTTATAACCTATAATCTGCTAATCATGTATGCTTTGTTTTTCTATATTTTTCCATTTTTATTTATTTACTATTTTCAATTTAACTTCAGATAACCACAGTTCATTATACTTCAGTTTAATACATACGTCACAGTGCAATAATCCTCTACTTCATGATTAGCCACTCTTCTGCTTCAGTAAATAAGGTGTTTTATTTTTATTTCACTTCATCATTGTTTCTTGTTTCTGTCTTCCAACAACAACAAATCACTACATCTGTTCTTCATACTCTAGGTCTTTGAATCTCTGTTGTTGCACACAACTGTACTAGAATTGACCCAGAAATTACTATATTGTCATTGTCAAACAACTGTTTACTGGGTCTACAGAAAATATCAATAAGCACTAGCAAAGCCATGAGCCTATGGTCCACATATACAGGGCTGCTAAAATGCAAGTTTAGTGCTTGAACTACAATTTTTCAGTTTAATGATCATTACTGCTATAATGCAAATTTAATTTCGGTGCTACTATAGCGTGAGGTCTACCACCATATGTCGCCTACCCAGGTCTATCAAACATGTATAAAAATGTATCAAATTAAGTGTTTATCGCTAAAATAGATGTATGGAAATGTGTGATATCCATGAGGGATGGATAATGCAGCGGTAGAGCTCATGCTATAGTAGCACCTTAATTTCTTTAACCAATTTACAAATGGTAATTAGTAAGCCTACTTATTTACATGCTGTAAAAATGTTTTTGTGAAATACCCGGGTTCCCTAAGGGGGTTAGGTGAAAAGTTTTACCTTTGTGCAATCCTTGGGGCTAAGACAATTAGTTTGGTACCATTTAGAAGTTGGTGAGTCCAGAGGTTTAGGAGAAGGGTTTTTGGGAAATCTCCAAATTCCCCAAGGGGTGGGTGAAAAATTTTACCTTTGTGCAAACCTCAGGAATGAGATGATTCATTTAGAAGTCAGTGTGACCAGTAGTTCATGAGAAGTTATGTGACACAAACACAATGAATCTTATTATATAGATTTTTTCTAATCTTAATGATATCACTTCCTCTCAAACTTTTAATTCACTTCTAACATAACTACTCTATTATCAGCCTTATTTATGCAAAAGTCAAGACTTTTCCTCACATCTCTCTAAACATAATTTAAACAGTCCAATGTCCTATGCTGCATAAGTGGAACTAATCACCTGCAACACCTTTTGCCTACTGTATCCTTAAGGTCTCACAGACTTAATCTGCTTTGCTGATCTAGATATAATCTCCTTGAAAATCTCTTATCTTATCCTTACAGCCTACTTACAATTTCTTGCCTACATGTAGAACTCTTGAAAGAGCTAATCAATGGTTTCTATTCTTAAAGCTCCAATTAGTTTTTTGTACCTGGTTAATACTTTTTTAATAGCTTTCATGTTAATATCTTTAACTCTGACATGCACTACAAAAAAAAAAAGCACCATCATTAATTCTAGTTATTATGTTATCTATGCTATTTAAAAATCCCACAACCTGTAACACTGTTTTTAGTACTGAGAAATGAGTAGCATATGGTTAAATATAGATATACAAAAATTGAGTAAAATGTCAATAAACTTTGGGTTGTTTGTGATCATGGTAGTCAAAAAGGAATATATGCCTCCAAAATGTTTGTCTGAAAGTAAAAACTTTTCTAAGTGGATAAGTAGAGAAATCTCATTTCTAGTAAATGAAAATGCTGGCTTACACAAAAAAATAAAGTTCACTTGTAAAATGGAGGATGTTGTAGCTTTTATATATATAAAAAATAAGAGAGATATTCTTAAGGTTAATAGGGATTATGCAAGCTCAAAAACTCAAATTTAAGAGGGGGTGGAGTGGCTCTTTATAATAATAGATGAACTAAAGGTTATTGGGTTTGAAGACACAAAAAATAGTAATCAAAAGTAGCTTACAAGCACAGGTTTCAGGATATAAAGTTTTTAATTGGCAATTGCTATAGGTCACCTGACCAGACAGATGAGATCAATGAGGAATTGTATAATGATATTAGCGTTGTTATTAATAAGAATAGTAATGGTAAACCTTGATTTTAGACACTAATTGAAGTTAAACAGTGAGAGACAGAAATTTCATTTGACTCAAAGGTAATTCAGGATGGTTTTCTATACCAAACAGTCAGAGAGCAAATTGAAAGGGATAACATTTTAGATTTTTAATGACTAATGAATATATAGTTGCAAGAGTTCAGCAAAGAAATATGTAGAGAAGAGTAATAATCTCATAACCAGTCTTAATGTTCTGGTAAACACTGAGATAAAAAGAAATTAAACTATAATTCTTAATTTTCAGAAAGTTTATTTTGAAGCAGTGAGACATGATTTATCATTAGTGAATTGAGATGAGTTAAAAGGTGATACAAAATTTCTCTTAATTCAAGATAATCATGTTCCTAATAAGAGAAAGAGAAAATCACACCTGACAGACTTTAAAATACAAAAAATTGATAAATGCCATAGGTTTAATAAGTTTAAACTGATAGATAAGTTGGAAGATTTACAGGACTATAAGAAGACTAGGGAATTGGTTAGGAAAAAAAGACATTAGGAAATCCAGAAGGGTTTACAAGAAACAGCTGCCTGATAATGTTAAATACAACTGCAAAAATTTCTTAAAATATGTTAAAGATAAATAAAAAAAAATACTGAGATGGTAACATTTTTGTTGAAGACGATGAGATGGTTGAGATTCTAAGAGTTTTCCATTTTTATTAAAGAACACATTAGCAATGTTTTTTACCATAAGTAATCTATGGGAAATATTGTAACTGACCTTAATCATTAAAAACAGATAAAGCACCTGGGCAAGACAAGGTTTTCCCATGGTTTTAAAACAGGTTAAAGATATGTGAGCCTCCCTCTTTCATTTTTGGTAGGTCAATATACAATGGTTAGGCACCTGAGGACTGGAGAGTTGTTTATTTTACTCCTGTTTTTAAAAGGGGTGATAAGAGTTGACCTGGAAATTACAGGCCAGTTAGTATTAATTCTGTGATGGGTAAAAATCTAATAAAA